CCGCCTTATTTTTGCACAATAGCTAGCTGTTTGTGACGGTATGCTGTTGACACAAGGTGTAGGCGCCTTGACCCTGAATGTTTGCTTAGGGCATTCTTATGATTCTTTCTTCCCTTAGTATAGTAGTAGTAGTAGTAGTCGTAGTCGTCGTAATCGTAGTCGTCGTCATCGTCCTAGTCGTCATCGTCGTCGTAGTCGTCGTAGTAGTATTTAGTTAGTTAGTTAGTTTGTTATATTGTTCCATCGCTATGAGACTGGACCTTACCGTGGTGCGATGGTTTGCATGCCTCAGCGATCCATTGAGCTATACTGGGTGGTGCTTTTTTTGCATCTCCAGAGCCGCTCATACCAGATTGGCCAATGGTTAGAAGCCAGACAATCTCAGCCTCCTGTTCCTCCAGGTTGCGGGTTTGTATGAGGGTGGCTCCTTATTTCATAAAACATGCTCTCTTTAGTCCAGTGCCAAAACCGGCTACCTTGAGGTCAGGTTTTTGAACCAAAGGCTTTGGTTGAGAACCCTAATCGTTCTTCTGTCTAGGTCTGGGCAGCCTGACCGTATTCTGTCCACGCAATCTATGAACCCTTCGTCAAACAATTTCTTGTTGCTCTGGCCGTCGCAGAGGATTATGAATGGCGCCCTATCTGCTGCATCGGGTAGGGTGGATAGGGGTATGGATGCTACTGCTCAGGCCTTCCCGTCTTCGTGTACCCCCTTCTTGTGCTTCTTCATTCTTCTCGTTCCTTTCCAACTTTACTTTTATCCCCCAATTCTTGGCCCTCCCCCAGGTTAGTTCAATTTTCGCTTGTCTTCTAGTTTCAGATCACACACAGTCGCAGGGCGTCGCTCCAATCCAGTCGACAAGTCCATGTTCAAGCAAGCGGACAACGTCAGTTCATTCGTCGTTAAATTAACTGGTTCGTTCCGTGCTACGTAGTCGCGCGGGGACAAACGACGATTGTTTGTCATTGCAGCCTACGCCCCTACAAACTGTAGCACAGATTCGGGAAAAATGATTTCTATCAGCAACTTCACGAGCTCTTTTGTTACAGAAGAAGCACGGATACTGTGGTGTTAGCTGCCGATTTAAACGCCTAAGTCGGAATATTGTCCTCTGATGAGCTTCATCTGGGTGGCCAACATGGTGTACGCTCCCGTATTGATAACGGTGAACGACTGCTACAGCTGTGTGAAGATGCTCGCCTCTTTCTCGTGATCACGAACTTTCGACACAGCACCCGCAGAAGCGTGACTTGGCGGCCACCAGCTTCGGGCCAACCATGGACGCAAATCGCTGTCAGTTACCGCTGGAGGGGCTGTGTCCAAAACTGTCATTGGATTTGGAGCATGAGCGTGGACTCTGACTACGCACTTGTCTGTGCCGACCTCCGGGTGCGTTTCGGTGGACGTCCGCAACGTCGAGGTGAACGGATTGACACCAGCCAGCTGGCGAAGCCAGGTGTTCTGAATGTGCATCAAAGTGCGCTGACATCTGGGCTGAGTAGGCGCCCACTAAACACCGTCGAAGGTCACTGGTCGCATATTCGCAAAACGTTGTTAACGGGCCTCTCTTCATTAACCAAAGCAAATTGCCAAACCGGACACTGGGTCTCTACACAGTCTCTGGAACTTATACATGCCAGCCGAGTTATTCCGCTGAATGCGAATACAATGAGGCTCGCAAAAATCTCAGGGCAAAACGACGTGCTAGCCTGAAGAAAGACAGCGAAACCTGGTGGTCTCATCGTGCCTAGGAGAAGGAAACAGTCACTGCCGTTGGTAATCATCGTATGTTATTCAGTCTGATACGGGAAACAGGCAGCATGGGATCTGGTGTTAGCGAGACCATACGCGACGAGAGTGAGCAGCCGATCCACAGCCTGTCAAAACACTTGGAGCGTTGGGCTTAACACTCTGTAAGGCAATTTAACAAACCTGAGTTATCGCTTTCTTCTTCGGGCATTGAGCGCCCTTCTCCCTGGGCCGCCTCCTTGGATCCGCCCTCACGCGCAGAAGTGGAATGTGAGATCAGGCCGTTGAAATTGCATAAGGCCGCAAGGGCAGATAGAGTTCTCCCAGCCCTCTTCAAAATCGGGGGACCTGCCCTAATAGATGATTTACACGAGTTGCTAGTGAAACTTTGGGAGCATGAGACTGTCCCGACAGACTGGAACCGCTCCGTCATTGTCCCAGTTTCCAAAGGGGGCTCCCGTTCGGAATGCGGCAATCATAGAGGGATCAGCCTGATTTCAACTGCCTCTAAATTGCTTATCTCTCATTCTCCACAGACGGATTGGCACTCGTGAAAGCCAGATTCGTGAAGAGCAAGCCAGATTTCGTCGAGGTCGGGGCTGCATTGACCACACCTTCATCTTGCTTCAATTGTTGGAGCACCGCCATGTTTATTGGCGACCCACCGTTGTTGTGTTTCCTGGCATAAAAGGTGTCTTCGATCCAGTCTATCGATGTGCCCTTTAGGACTGTCTGCTGAGGAAAGGTGTGCCTGATAAAAAGGTAAACATTATCAAATCGCTGTATGTGCATAGTTCGGGCAGGGTGAGGGTTTACGACAAACTGCCGCCATCCTTCAATATCACCAGTGGTGTGAGAGAAGGTTTCCCGCTGTCACCTTCCCTCTTTAACTTCGCAATTGATGAAGTCATGAGACAGCATTCGCTGGACACGACCTAGAAGGTGTGGAGCTAATTCCTGACTTGGAGTATGCGGACGAGATTGCCCAAATCTGTGACAGCTCACAAACATGCCAAACAGCAATGGACCGGTTAGCAGCTGCTGTCAATTGTTTTGGGCTATGCTTTGCTCCATCGAATTGCAAAGTTCTTCAAGCTTGGCAGGGACCCACTCCTGCGCTAGCGCTTTGTGATGATTAAGTAGAAGTCGTTAAGGAATTCAAGTACCTGGGCAGCTATATTAGCACCCGTGGGATTGAAGATGAGGTTACGACCCGTAAAGCGAAAGCTCCAGGTGCATTTGTCAACCTCCGCCATCTGCGGTGCAGACGCGATGTCACACTCGCCATGAAGGGCAGGGTTTATAATGCAGCCGTCCGTTCAACTCTACTATATGGTTGTGAAACCTGGCTCATCAGGTCGACAGGCATAACGAGGCAGATCAAGTTCGATCATCGCTGCCTTCATAGCTTAGCAATGAGCGTGCTCGGCGTCGCGTATTTGGTGCAGGAAGAGCGAGTGAACCGCTCAGCACCATTATATCACGAGCCAGGCACCGATGGTTTAACCACGTGTTGCGCATGCCAGCACACCGACTTCCGCGATGTGCATTGTTTGCGCGTTGTGGGTGCGGTTGGAAGAGGAGGACGGAAGCCCAAGCGATGACTTGGTCGAATGAAAACCCTCACTTCGAAGCTGGCGTCGATTGCTACATCCCGACTGCCTGGCTGGGGTCCTAAGGATGATGTACACGTTTGGTTGGGCACACTTGCTAGTTTGGCTTGGAGCAGACCGCAATGCTGTTTGTGTTGTGAGGTTCTTTGTCCTTCCGCCTCCTGCTTAGCATCCCCCTCCGATCACGATCTCACTCGTTAGGCATAACCTAACTTTCTTTCTACGGCACGATGACCAGCTGTTAGCTGTTTGGAACGATGTCCATCCGTTACTGCGGACAGTCGGCGTGCGACTGTTTGTTTTCCTTTTCTTGCCTTTTGTATTGCGGCACAGTAGCTGAGGTGTTTTCCACCTACAGTTAACTTGTATAATGATGATGATGAGTAGTAGTTGTTGTTTGTGGTGGTGGTGGGTGGTGCTGGGCTGCTTCACCAAATTATGTGAAGCCGTTCTGATTATGCAAGCTAACACTGCCACTTTGGCTAAAGCAATGACGAATCATTGGGTTTGCCAATGGAGAGCTCCAGGACAATTACATTCCTGACAGGGGACCATGTTTTGATTGCTCGTTAGTACAAGAAATTTGTCAGGTGCTTGATATTGATAAGACTCGAAGGTCGGCGTTTCTCCTGCAGGGCAACGGGCGGGTTGAGCCTACTAATCGATCGCTATAGTCGCGGCTGAATGCTTTCGAGGATCAGAATGTTCGTGAGTGGGAAACTTGCTTGCGTATCGAAGTACGGTTCACATCTCTACCGGGCAAACGCCATCTTTATATCTACGGGAAGAGAAGTCCGGTTGCCTGCAGACGCTCGGCTGCCTGTCGCAGCAGGTGTACCCGTCGTGATAATTATATCAGTACGCTCCTCGGCTTTATTGAACATACGCAGCTAGCTGTGCGTGTTCATTTGGCGAATGCCCAACGACAGATAGGTTTTTGGTACTTCACAGAAGACAGGCGAGCTGGTATATTTACACCAGGTACCAGCTGCGGGGACACTAGCAAAACTGCATCATAATTGGACAGGCGATTTATCTGATTTTGTGTGATTAAAGATCCAAACAACTCGGTCGGGCAACCTATGGTCGTACGCTTTAACCGGCTCAAGCCATTCCGAGGCTAGACTGACCACCCAGTCTGGGAGCCAGACAATGAATCACCGGCGTAGGTAGCGATCGAACTGGAAGTGCCGATTGAAAGAAGCTGCGGTGTGGTAACGGGGACGTCGCTTAGTTAAAGAGGTGCGGTGTAACGAAAGATCGATATTGTTGTTGGCGCGTGGTCGAATTTGAGTCGTTGCCTTGACGCCGCCTACCCGTTTGCCTTTCAGGGCGCCCTTCATGTTCAATCACGGAAGAAGGATAAGAACCAGAAGATGACATTTACCTGTAATGTTTCATTGTTTGTTTTATTGTTTCCCAAAATCTTCATAGAGCTTACGTGTTGTAAAATAGAACTTCTGTTTCGTCCTCTAACCTTTTTGCCTCGCATGTTATAGTAGCCTTACCTTCCTACTCCTCTCTGACACTTTTCCCTTCGCTATTCCGTGCTCTCTCCGCTGCATTCTTTAGATCGGTCTCCTACTAGGCGGTTGTAATATGAGCATCTAGTCGTCTACGATGTATTTATTTTATGTTGCAGCTTTAAGAGTTTATTACGACTTCGTATTATTTGAACACGGATGATATTGGAACGTTGGACCGGAAGAATATTACACTAGTCGGTCCTTGCTGTCGAGTTTTCCTTTGAGGTGCTGGCTTTTGCGCACAGGCGTCCAACACATTAAACTATACTATAAATGCTTTCATTATGTCCGAACGAAAAACACCGACTATTTCTCAATCCACCCTGATTCAGCTGTACACGTGAGTACCTTTTTGTTGCTATTGTGTCCCCTAGACGGTTCATACTTAACCTTCCGACTGAGCTTAAAGAGGAATGTAATCGCAATTTCGTCAGATTGTTTTTCGAGGTTGAACGAGCCCACTGGTTTTATCTGGATCATTATATAGAAGATCCCTCAATCGGAGGTGTCGATATGTACGGTTTCACGGAGAGATGTTCGTCTTTTCTTTATATTTTTATTATTCTGATGATCTCTGATTCAGTGTTTGAGCAGTTTCCAAGTATTGTTCCTGGTGGAGTTGATTGGAGGGAGAAATTTTTGGAGTGGAGAAAGTACCGTGGGGAAACAGAGACAGGGAGTGCTATTATTCTCGATCAGTATTTTGAAATGGTTTGCCTATTTTAATCCTCTATTTACCTAATAGTTACTACTTGTACAAGGATTTTACGGAAACCGGTGGAACTTTCCAGGAGGGAAGCTGAACGAAAATGAAACTTTTATCGACTGTGCCGCTAGGGAGGTAGGAGTTAACTTATTCTCTTCACTTGTATGCCAAGGTGCTGGAGGAAACTGGCTTGGATGTTGAATACCGTATAATTCCTTCTCTTTACATTGATCGCAATATCGGTGGCACATTGCGGAGAGCTTTCATAGTCGAAGATATGCCTCGCATCTCTCGTTTACAGCCGTGCACTTGCAATGAAATTGAGGCAATTACCTGGTTCAATCTACAAGATTTACCAACCCACGCACAAGACACGAATCCCATGAAGAAATTCAACATGCGACCAAACAACTTTTATATGATTCTTCCTTTTATGAAGTAAGTAGGAATGTACCGCTCTTGCCTGTTCAAAATTTTATGCAACCTCATACCATCTGTCTTCTTACCAAGAAAACTGCCTTACTTTTTGTTCTTGCACTAAGACGGCTAGCGCTACTATTTAAACATTTATCTAGTCCTGCGCATATAGTATGTTCACTGCGGCACACTGCGCTTCCTGCATATTGTTTCTATGGATTTCACTTCTTCCCGACGGCTGCGATGGAATGACGCGCTTAAGCGACATTGCGGCAACACTGCGTTCACTTAGAAGGAATTTGAACCATCGCGTAGTGTTCAAGATTAAGCATGTCATTCCTTTGACGGATGCTTAGTACTAAGCACACTGGTCGACATCTACAGGACTCATTGATGCCGTTCGGGACGCCAATCTAATGCTCTGCATTAACTTAAACTGAAGGCCTTTTTACTCATTATATTACTTTTTCTGTCGATTAGATGTGAAATTCTGAACGTCGTCCATTGATGTCGGATGATCGCCATGTATTCTTAGACATCATCCTGCCGGGGATTTAATTTTAAAATGCGGTCGCTTCCAACTGGTTACTCCTTGACTGTACACGTAGTGGGTGCTACTTTTCTCAGGGAAATGCATTCCTCATTTAGGATTTTTTAACTGGGACCATTTTCACACACCGGCCGGTGCTCGCGTGATAGAGACATCTGGCTTGTGATCCACATGTCGCCATTTCAACCCTGCATAGGTGCGGGTGAGTTCTCAGTATCCCGACGCGACATACTGTGCTCGCATGACATCGAGGCGTCGGTATGGCATACCGTTGTTGCTAATATCCATCTAGTAGGATTTCTCTGAACACGCTACTCTGATGGGCTACTACATTTGGTCCGTGTTTTTACATGTTTAGGTAGTTTGTGCACTCTTCACAGCATGGGTTCCCATCTTTTCGAGTAGAGATAACGACTTTTACTTTTAGTTCTTTATTCTTTTTCAACTTCAATCTGTTATAATCTTCTCACTAGACGCAACTCCAAAAATAACGATTCACTGCTCTACAAAACTTCTAGCCCAATCGAAGAAAAAAACAAAACGCCAATGACCTTGCCAAAATAACGTATTAATCGCCGTCAACGAACACTGTACAATGACTGCTGACCTTGGCTGTATTTATAGGTCTCTACTGACCTTCGACTTCTAGAATTGGGAGGTCAGCTACCAAGGTTAGTGGTTCCCTATATCTTTTGCCGAGGTGTCAGGTGGTTTTTAATCACGTGTAGAAGAAGAACATTCAGGAACGTTCGAACTCGATGCGATAATCGTTAATAATCGATTAATCGCTAAAATAGTGGATTTCCAAGGCAATTCTTACTTTCTCCCGGACACCTCTCCTCCTGAGACATCATCCGAGGTATAAGACGAAAGCCTAGGATTAACTTGCAGTCTTCGGGACGGTGTTCTCTGCCTGTCGGTCCACTTCCTTGGCAGAAGCGCCCGAGAACTTTGTTCCGATGTTCTTGTTCTGTATTCTTTGCTCGACTGTGTGCAGTCGTCAACTGTTACCTTCGGCAGGTTGAAGCTTTCCACCAGTAAGTCGTACGGCAGGTCAGTAGGCCTTGCTTTTTCTGGTTGGCACGATGTGGGCCATAACTGGTCTGCGTGCCGTGGCCAGATCTTTGCGCCTGCCATCACGTCATACATGACGTTTACGCGCTTGCTTTTGACCGTCCCTGGTGTCCATTTCGCATGGCCTTCTCGGTAGTCACGTACTAACACCTTCTGTCCAAGCGTAAAAGATCGCTTCTTTGCTCCATGCCGCCGGTTAACATCCTGTTCCATTCTGCGGTTTCTTTCACCAACAGCAGACTCCGAACGTAGTCGGATGGCGTTGAAAGGCACGCGGAGCTTCCGGTTCATCATGGCCTGTGCTGGAGAGACTCCGTCTGGCGCTTGTGGATTCGGTGTTGATCGGTAGAGGAAAAGGAACCGGTCAACCACCTCCTCTATACGTCCCTCCCCATTTGATTTGTGGAGAGCTCGCTTGAATGTATCGACAAACCTTTCTGGCTGGCCATTCGACTGTGGGTGAAACGGCGGCGAGCGAACGTGCTGTACGGCGCATTGCTTGCAAAACTCCGTAAACGTTGCTGAAGTAAATTGTGAGCCATTGTCGGTGACAATTGTCTCAGGACAGCCGAATCTGCTAAAGGTTTGTCGCAGTTTCGATATGGTGGCATTGGTAGTTGTGTTCTCCATAAGAAATACTTCAGGCCACTTGCTGTATGAATCGACTATAATGAGGAAACTTCGGCCGTTGATCGGTCCTGCAAAGTCGACATGGATGCGGCACCATGGCTTAGTAACTTTTGGCCATGAATAAAGTACTGACTTTTGTGGCGCTTTCAAGACATTGGCACACTGTTGGCAGCGTTTGGCTATTTCTTCTAGCTGTTTGTCCATGAACGGCCAGTATACATAACTGCGGGCAAGCGCCTTCATCCGGTTGATTCCAGGATGCCCGGCGTGGAACTGCCGAATAAGACGCTCCTGAAGTGCCTTGGGGATGACCACTCTTTCCGAAAATAGTATGCAGTCGTTCACAATAGAGAGCGCGTGTCTCCTCTGGAAGTACTGTTGCAACTCGGCAGATGGACATGAACGTGGCCAACTTGTTTTGTGAAGTCGTGTAAGCTTATTGAGTATTGGGTCACGAAGCGTTTCGGTTCCTACAGCTTCTGCGGTGACTGGTAGACCGTGCAATGCATCAGTTACCAGAAAGTTGACGTCAAGTTCGATCTCGACTGAGGCAATGATTGTGTCCTCATGTTCTTGCTGGCGGGCATTAATTAGGCGTGACAGTGCATCCGCATGGCCAATGGAAACTGTCGACTGATATTGGATCTCGAAATCATACCTTATTAAGGTAAGAGCCCAACGTTGTAACCGGCTGGCTGTGTAGGGCGGAATGCCTTTTTTGAACCAAAGATAGCCAGCAAGAGCTTCTGATCTGTCAGAAACTTGAAGCGGCGGCCGTATGGCATATTGTGAAATTTCTTGACTGCATACACTATGGCCAATGCTTCTTTCTCAATCTGGCTGTGATTGTTCTCGGCCTTCGTAAGTGTTCTGGCGGCATGGGCGATTGCGTTCTGAGATCCATCGGCGTAAGTGTGTGTTATTACTGCACCAATCCTATGACTTGATGCAACTGTGGCCAAGACAATCTCTTTGGAGGGGTCAAAATGAGTCAAAAGCAAGTTTGAGGACAGCAGTGACTTGACGCGTTCGAATGCATTTTGGCATTCTGACGTCCAGTTCCATGTTTTGCCTTTGGCTAGTAGCTTGTTTAACGGGGCACGCAGGCGGTGCATCTCAGGCAAGGATGCGCTGTAGTGGCTGATGAGCCCACAAAAGGAACGCAAGGACTGTAGGTCTGTTGGTGGAGGCATTTTTCTTATAGCTCCTATGTCTTCCGGGTCTGGTCGACGTCCATCCTTTTCGAGGATAAAACCGAGGTATTTGATGATCGGCGTGAAAATGTGCATTTTGTTCTCACGGATCCGGAAACCGTACGACTGTATGCAGCCGGGTACTTCATCCAGGCGGTTAAATAGCTCTTCCGATGTTCGACCCATCATTATATCATCCAGATATACAGCGGCTCCAGAAACGCCCGCTAGCATTGTATCCATCAACTGTTAGAAAATGGCTGACGCCATTCTCACAACCAAGGGCAGGCGGTTGTATTGGAATATCCCACGATGAGTGTTGATCGTCAATAACTCTGTCGAGTCTTCGGCAACATCCACTTGAAGTTAGTCATCGGACAGATCAAGCGTAGCAAAGCACTTACCACCATTCAGTTTTGCATCTCTATTTTCCGTTAAGGATAATGGGTACTGGTGATCGTCCTGCACGGCGTTAAGTCCAGTTGTGAACCCAGCGCTCACGTGTACCTTGTCATTTGCCTTCACTGCATCAATAAGTGCGACCCATGATGAGTAATTGACGGCTGTGATGACTCCGGCTCGTTCCAGTCGATCAAGTTCTTGATCAACGGCTGATATAGCTGCATAAGGTAACGGTCTTTTAGCCTTAAAAACTGGTTTGGCTCCTAGTCGCAAGCTCAGTCTTGTCTTGATTTTTGTGCGATGACCTAGGCCCTCCTAAAAACAGATGCATATTTTTGCTTCAGCGGACATGTCATGTTTTCGACCGATTTTGATGATGCGTTTGAACTTGCTCAGCCTCGATTGCAGATCTTATTCATAGGAATATCAAGGAGTTGCAACTTTTCAATCCCGTCGAGAGCAAGAAGATTCAAATTCGGTCGGTCTGAAATGTAGCACGTTCTCGATTCTTCCACACCTTTGAATGCAATCTTGCAGATAAGTTCGCCCACCAATGTTAGCACACCACTGGTTGCATTTTGAGTATTTTTGTGAGACGACCATCTTTGGCCTCCTTATGTGATTCAGTGTGTTCCTGGAAATAATCGTAATGTCCGAGGCCTTGTCGAATTTCAGTTTCATCGGGATCCTATTGATCAACATGTTGGTCAATCGTCTTCTCGGTTTACACTCACTTTGGAATGTGGCAACTATGGACAGACTCTGTGCCATTCTTTCTAGAATTCCTCTTTCGATAAGACCTCTTCACGTTCTTCGTCCGGACCTGACTTCAGAACTCCTCCTTCTAACCCCGTTTATTGCACCTTTCACAAATATGACGTTTGAAGGGTCACAACTTGCAAACTGCCACTCGCCGTATGACCGGCATGCTGTTGGCGTTTTCTTCGTTGACCTCTTCACGGTTTGCTAAAACTGACAGTCCTGGCTTTTTCACGGAGTGCACGGTATCGGATGGTGCGAGATGATTCTGTTAGCTCATGGCAGTGTCGTGTTTCAGAGTGAGCTGATGTTTGCATTCGCTTACGTGGGACTTCAGTATCAGATAGGGATCCTGATCCAACTTATCTAAATGCCGCATGTGGATCTCAGCATCATTGGGGTACTGTAGAGCGCTGACTAAAATGAGACGTTTAAACTGATCGTCCGTTAAAGATCGTAGCTTGAAACGCTCACACTCATGGTAGATCATGTATGCTGTGACCCCAAAGTCGCACTTTTCCCCTTTGACAAGGATACTGACTCACCAAAAACTTCATTGAGGTGTGACGCTGCTTTGTTGAACGTTAGATCCTTCTGCTTTTTGGACAGAATATGGTCTGTGAACCTTGAATGTTCACTTGTGCGGAGAATGCACAGTGGCAATCGCACCTTTCAGGAGTCGTCCTGACGAATAAAGTCCGTCCGGAACATGTCTCCCAGCGCTGGAACCAGTCTTCGAATGTGCATCCAGAATCCGCGTCATAATTGAATTCAGTGATTACATACGTGAGATCAACGAAACTCGCCTGCGTGTCCTGCCTCGCTGCTCCTTTTGACTGCAGACTCGGAAATGGTGTCGAATTTTCGATCCTTTTCATCTGAGTCTCCATTTGAGATTGCTGTTGGAAATGCAACAGAAACATTCATTACATTTCCAATTTTCTCCCTTGTCATCTTCCCAATTGATGCAATTCCTACATAGGCACTTTACCGCTCCACTAATCGTCTAGCCCAATCGAAGAGAAAATCAGAACGCCAATGTCTTTGATAAAAAACATGTTAGCCGCTGTCAACAAAACACTGTACAACTACAGCAAACCTTGGCTGCACTTATACGTCTCTTGTTGACTTTCGATCTCTGGAATAGGAAGGTCAGCCGTCATGGTTAGTTGTTCCATATAGATTTGTACAATCTTCAAGAAGTTAGTAGTCACGATCAGGCTTTAGAACATTCAGGGGCGTTCGAAACCGATACGGTAACCGGTAACAATCAATTAATCTCTGAACTAATGGCTTTTGCGGGAAATTCTTATTCTTTCCCAGACACGGTCATTCCATTTGGGAGATATTACTGCACTCCCATCAACTTACCTCCGACGATGTATGCTTTGCATGTAAAACGGCGTTATGGCTACCGTGTATGACCATTTATGTCAATATCATCTGCTGCAAATTCCCCCAAAATTTTTATCCTTCCATATTTCCCTACCTATAGCTTTGGCAAAAAGATATGCGCTACTTATTTTCCTCCATTTTTTTAACATTTTCCGGTTTATCTTATATTTTGTTAGAATTTTAATGTACTTACGTTCTTGAGTGTTAGCTATTTTATACTCGCAAGACCACTAAGTAGGAGCCATTCTGATGCACTCATTGTGTGTAAATAGATTCCGACACGCAACGTCAATCTGTACCGCGCTTTATTTCAATTTGAACGATGCTCGATTCGGTCACTGGAACTGTTACGGAATCAAATAGAGGTTATGTATGTTACCCGCTCACAACACTGCAATTCACAACCGCTTTCCTGTTGTTTTACACTTATCTAGATAAGAACTGAAGACACTTTGATGTCAACCAATGCTTTTACTCCTAAGCCACTGGATCGCAACAAGCCACGCGTCACAGCGCTTATAAACTTGTATTCTATGTGGGCCCGTAGCCTTAAACATCAAAAGTCTGCCTTGTAAACCGAGGGTCCAGGTTCCATCCTTTGTACGGACCTTGCGATCCCCGGAGTATCCATAGTCCACGTGCACTTGGTGGTGCTTGCGCGGCATTACTGTGTACCAGGTACTGCTGATGCCTGCCTATGCTTTAATCCATCTTCACTAGTATATACTGTTATTATTATCGTGCCGAAGCGAATCGTGGAAACTAGATCCATCGCTGTTCACTCCCCCCCACTGTGCTCTTTGATAGGTGAGCTCCACAAAGCTTTGCACCTCTTGGTTGCTAATGATGCACTTGGCCATTTAAATCCGAGATGCTCGTCGGGTGGTGGCCTGACATTACAAATGAGTTGCTTTGTCGAAGAAAGTATGTATTAAGGGTTGCTCGCCTGAAAACATTGTGCTCCACGACTTTTTCTTGAACTTATTCGATCTCACCAGATATAGAAGTAACAATCACTCGAACGCTGGGCGTTAGCATGTTGGCCGAAACCATCCAGTGGTTTATCCACCTGTTTCACCAGTTACAGTCCCAGTTATTGAACTGATAGGGTTGCACTATATTGCGAATTGCGCTCCACATTAAGCCTACGCGTCGGTTGCATGCACACAACGAGTGCTTCAAAATAACCCTCCAATGAGTCCGCTTGTCATCTTCTTGGAGAAGGACTACGGCATCTTCCAGGAAGTAAGTCTTTTATAACGCAACTGAAACGTAATCGTTGCTTTAGCACTTGCTTACTGTCCTGATCGGTAACCCAGCTATCTTGCGAGCTTAAGGTTTTTTCAATCTTTTTTCCACCGAACTTGCGTTTTTGGCTCATACATTTAGATTCAGGTGAACTGATTGCTAATTCAACTGATTGCTAATTCACCCGCGTTCCTACAACCTCTCGCTGTCTGCGGTTTCATTGAAACTTTATGTAATTTTTACACTACAGTTAAGCGTACCAAATTATGACTTTTCCCCTCTACTGAAGCTGTCAGGTTTGAAAACCTTGGGAAACATTTTTTTTACTTCACCTGTTCATACGATCCTATTTCGCTTACATCCCAGACAGTTGAAAGAGTACGTCAGGCTTCGACGCTCAGGCGTCCATGCATTAACCGCCCTTGATGAATCCTCCAAGCTGGTTGAGAGTGATCATTCCAGTGCGATTCCTCCGGAACCCAAGATGGTGGTCGAAAGTGCGCCCGCGAAGACGCCCCGTTCTCGCCCCAAAAAGCGCAAGAAAGCACATTCAGCATCTCAACCTTCCGGCGGCGCAAACAAACAGAGCTCGAATCCTCAAAAGTAAGCCGACTTTGAGCAAAAGTTCTACTTAATTTCGTTTTTCATCTTTATCCTCATGTTATAACTTCAGAACTGCTTTCTCTATGTGTGCTATCGGGTGCGAAGTGCGTGGTGGCGAGTTATTTGGGGTTTTTGTGACTGTATACAGTTTCAGTATGTCGCCTGCGTCGAAACTGAACTGATGTGCCGTTTTTTGGCCTCTGAACGTTCACTTTTAGGAGCGTGTGTGTCTGTGAATGGTTTTCGAGTACATTTAGTTTTTGTACGGTAGGATGCAGCGCCCTAGGACCATATTTGAAGTTATATTTCCTCGAGGTATAAAGCTGTGTTCTGTTGTATGCCCGAATTTTTTCAGTTCGAACGAAATCTCATGGAGTGCTTTTTTAGGATCGAGAAACTTAAAGCCCGTCAACTTATAAAAGTGATTAATTCCTTTCCGAACAAACTGTTCGGCGCATATTTTTGCTTCCTGACACAACGAGCAATCTTTTAGGCGATTATCTTAAATGAACTGTGCTTTGGCGCCCGTCACATCCTTTAGGGACTGTGTTTGTGGATTGGATTGGCTATTCGATCTGTCTCATTTTTAGTCCATTTTCAAGCACTAATTCCTGGCCGGAATTGCTGGAGACCTTAAGCGACTTGGCACAGTCATTCCTGTATTCAATATTTTTCATTTGGATTTTATCACCCCTACCTGCTTCAATCCACCCGCCTTTTCTCCAACCTTTTTGTCTTTTTACATATGTTCTCCGTGTTTTTCTCCACCGTTGGCAGAACGACACGAGTCATAGCAGATAAGTCCACCCCTGTTCTGGGCACTGCGATCACAATTTTATGTCTGGACTGTTGTATTCAATTGACTCGTGTTGGAACACTATGGTATCTCTTTGGTTCCCAGTATCAAACATTTTGATGACAGGCTATCTTTTAGTTTGTACACTTGTTTGTCCAGGATTATCAGCTACAAGCGGGAGTTAATCAGTTTCTTTTCTCCATTCTTTGACCATCTGTTGTCTTCTGTTCCAAGTATTGACCTTTTTTATAGCTCTTACCAAATCAGTTAGGTATCTTAATACTACAGACCTCGATTCAACGCAAATGCAACACTTGACGTCGGACGCTGTCATCTGGAAGCGGAGGCGCTCAACCCCTCATGCAAGAGCGGAGAACTCGGGTTTGGGACATAGCAATTACAAACCAGATATTAGAATCACCGCACCAAGGTTTCTCCTATCGTAACAAAGATGGACTTTATCATGGTGCGACAGTTTACGTACATCCTTGACACATTGACTTATACTGGGTGGTGCTCCAGGTCCACTCGAAAACTACTCCTACCAGCTTGGTTAATAATCAGAATTCATACCAACTCAGTCTCTCCGTCACACAGGTTAGCGGTGTTTAAATGCGATGCCATCCATTTCTGTTAAGCCGAATCATTACCACCTCACTGGTGTCTTGCGGACAGGCTTTTAAGCGAAAGACTTGATTGTGGACCCCACTCGTTCTTCTAACTAGATTTGGGGGCCTTGAAAATGTCACAGCCCACGAACAATCACGGCTGTATCATCAGACTTCAACCACACCCTGCATCGGCCTTCTCACAATTTACAAGGATCGCCTAATTTGCACACAGCAGGTGGATAAGCAAAAACATGCTACTACTGGCGCCTCTTCCCCACACCTTCCTCTATCCTCACCACCCTCACTACTATCTTACTTTCTGTGATATTCAGTTTACTTGACAGCAAGCACGATGCCGCAGGAATTATTCGACCTGCAGCTATCTTCTTGCTCCTTATGAGGCCACATTGTTCTGTTTCCGTATCGGTGTGCAATGTTCGCACTCAAAGGCACATCGGCAGGCAGCACTCGCATACACATTGGACAACTTGGGTATTGACTTGTGTTATGTGTCCGAAACGTGTTTATCGACTTAACTGCGCCCGATTTGTCTTCTCGCTATTGCTTGCACGCATCCGAAGAGGTTGATGCGGCAATCACTGGTCAAGCTGTGGTGGGCGTTGTTATCAGCTCTATGGCTGAGTTGATTGGATTCCCGTGAACAGCCGTTTGTGTGCAGTCTGTTTGACGACCAACTAAGCTTGGTTCACGGAGTAGTACCAGACGCTATTTATGAGTGGTTTGTGCTTATGCTCCCACCGACTACAGCTCTGATGGTGCTAAAGTCGCCTTCTACCACGAACTGAACTCGCATCTACGCCGTGTTTATATATCGTTGTTGTCGCAGTGGTATGAATGTGCAACTACATCACTGGACTCTTTAGAACTGAGTTAGGTTGTAAGTATGGACTTAATTCTGACCGAACGGACAATGGCGGGCGTCTGTTGCAACGGTGCGTGGAGCACCAGGTGTTTCATAGTAGGACCGCTTTTCGAGACATTTGGCGCCGAAGTGCCACTTGTTGTCCCCCTGTAGCTGGCCAGCGATGCGCCCAAATAGATCACACTAACATAACTTACAGGTTTCGTAGTTCCATACTGGATTCTCGCTCGTCTTGGAGCACTTGCATAAACTGTGCTCATGCTTTGGTATGCCGTCGCTTTTCCATGTACTATACTGGAAAGTGGATCAGGCGTTTTCCTCGATTGGCAACTGAGTTATCTCAACGTTCGGTCGGGTATGCCTATGAGGATGCCATGCATTGCGAACTTTCGCTCTCTCATCTTAACGATGCTGAGTTACAGTGAAACAGGACCTCTGTTGCCATGCGCGATGCAGGAGCCTTTGCTTGCGACACTGTCAGTCGTCACCGCACTATTCACTGGATATTCGAGGAACGGGTGAATCTGTTGGATTCCAGAAGGAAAGTTGCCTGCTGGTTGTGAGCATTATGTGACCAGATGGACTATTAGACGCGAACTAAAGCGTAGGCTGCATGCTGACAAGAAAGCCTGGTGGACCAGTCCCGCCCAGTAAGTAGAGGAGACGGGGCAGTAGACGATTATCGCATGCTCTTCCATTTGATCCGCACTACTGGTCCTGGAATACCAGGCGGTAGTGTGACAATCAGAGACGGCGCGTGTGCCATGATGCCCAATCGGGAGCACTGTATAACTCGTTGGGCGGAACAATTTCTGAAGATCCGTTGCCCCTCCCCCTACTTCTAAACCTCTTCCTGGTCAGGTGATGCAGGATGAGCCATGGGCGGATAGTTTAGCGGCTCATGGGAGGTTAAGTTCCAAAATGCGGTCACTGTCCTTAATTGATTTAGATCTGCTGTCCCGAATTCCCTCTCTCTTCGAACAAGTCTTCAAGCTGATGACCGTCCCTGCCATCTGGATTAAATCGATTTATTGACGATTTACACGAAGAGCAGTCACACCAAATATGCTAACCACAAAGGTGTTAGGCTAGCGGTACTAGAAACAAAATTAATGCTGAGCGGGAATCTCGCATAAGGGAATTGCACATGTTTCCGCCTAGTGGGGACTGTGTAGACCATGTATTCACTCTGCGGCAGGTGCTAGAGCAGTGCCACGCATAGCTTGACCTATGTTCCTCGACCACTACAGTGCGTACAAATCGGTCGATTGATGCGTTTTGTTCAAAATACTTTCTATGAAATATGTGAACATTTTACTTGCTTTTTACTCGCCAGCGCCCGCGGTATCCCACAACAAGTGCCGTTCGTATGGGTTGTTCACTTTCCCTATTTTTGTTCAGTTTCTTCACGGAGTGTTCAATTGCGGAATCCTACGATGCGGGCTTTGAGGTGCTGCCTGGGAAAGACCAGTAGATCTTGCTTATGCGAACGATATTGTTTTGGTTTTTTGCGCTCTTTAGGTGACCCAGTTTGCCCCCAATGATCTTTCTGGAGTGGTCCCATCATTTGGCATTTGCTTCATAATTTCAAATTGAAAAGTGTTTTTACAAGACCACCAGCGACTTGATGACCATTTGATTCTAGATAGCGAGAAACTCGTGGTAGTTGATCAGTTCACTTACTTTGGCTGCTGCATCGACAATAATGGGCGCATAAGCACGGAAGTCAATTCACTTATTGCAAAAATCAGGACAGCCTTTTTGAATCTGCAACATCTTTGTTGTCCGAAAGGGGTTTCCTTCAGTCTATATGACCGTGTTTACAAAGCCACAGTGAGGGTCCTTCCACTCTGTGGTAGTGAGAATTATCCCTTCCATCTGAGACGCCTTCAAAGCTTTGTCCATCGTTGTCTCCGGAGCGTTTATGGTGTCAACTGGCGCCAGCGTATCCCGTAGGATGATATGCGTAGGCGAGTACTAGGCAGTGGTACTCACCGTGGTTACTTAGAACAACTGATAGCACAGAATAAGTTGCGTTGGTCACCGCTTACAGAGGAGGGCCTTGTTTTGTCTGCCAGGTTTGGGGTGATACAAGTCTCCAGATGGACAGAAGTTGACCTGGGAGCGGGAAATAATGTCACTGACGATCAAACTGGGTGCTGCTGATCCGTCTCGCTTTTCTGGTTTGTGTCCATATGACTCGCCTTGTGCTTGGCTCGAGAAGTTACAGAATCGCAGTCGACACCAGTGGCGCGTCTGCTGTCGTCGTAGTAGGATTGCCTGGTGTTTGGTGCTGATTTATCTGCGGGGTACTGGCTGTCTATGAGGCGGAGCAGTGAAATCCGCAAGGAAGCTGTTTCGCTGATCTCGCTTTATCTTTGCAATATATCCAAGTGTTGGTAACGATTTGTTGTTGTGAAGATGTAAGCACCTTCATTCTGATATTTGTTTAGAGCATTAAGGTCTTCCGGTAAGTCCCTTCTCTCTCATTATTCTCCGTTCCCTAGCTCACCGTGGTCGTACGATAGCGAAGCATTAGTTGGAATGGCTGATGTGTTTCTGTTGATGATGAGGATGCATTTACGCCACCAGTAGGTTTGGTGGTCCATCGCACTGAGGGAGCACCGCCACCACTCACATTACCAGTGGGGCACTATATTATTGCCCTCTGTTTCTCGCATTTCCAACCGGTGGTGGTTATCCGAGCTTAATATGAACAGGGGCATCAACCGCGGCCCATCTTTAATGCTTCATTTATCTACTTCCCACTATCGTGTGGTAGACTGTCCCCCAATTTAGTCTAATCCACTTTTTACCCCTATGCTAATTCCGACATTGCAAGCATCTACTATTCTTTCAGGCAGACTCTCAACTCCAATCTTCACCCACTCGGCAAAATGGACCTGGATGAATGTCGCGTAAGTTTGTGCTCGTTTGCTAACCGAGTTAAGTCACACCACTTTTGGCTTGAGATTCTCTGCTGTTGCTCACATTTTCGCAATATTTCTGAAATGTTTGAGTACTCGTGTTATTCATATGATTTCAAGGAGATCATATTTGATCCATCATTTCTGGTTAAGATGACCTGAACATCCTGATTACAATGATTGAGACACATATGTAGTTGCCTTATTTTTTGCCGTGTTGCATCCAATAAGATCAGTATATTGAATCCGTATTGTTTATAAGATCTTCGCTATCACTCTTGGTTCCATTTTTTTACTTCTAATGATATCGCTCCCTTATTAGGTTTCCCACGCGTCTCCTACCTCCGATTGCCATTTGAACTCTTTTTTCACAGGCATTTCGTTTCTCCTCCCCACTTCTGGAACGCTCCGTCATCAGTGACCTTGACCCACATTGTCTGTCTGTATGCACCAACACCCCGCACCTTGGTCATAATATATCCCGTATTATTTTGGCACCTAAGGTTTCCATTACATGCTGAAGGAAGCGCTTTTCAATAATAGATCAAAGAGAGTTCCAGCAAGCATAGCCTACATCTGGATTGTGATGATAGGTTAGTGACAGCAATATTCGCGAAGTAAAACAAAACGCTGTTTGTTTGTGATTTCCGCTTATGCTCCCACCGACTGCAGTTCTAATGCAGTCAAGGACACTTTCTATCACGAACTGAACGGGTTACTACGCAGTGCTACTAGTTCAGATATTATAGTACTTGCAGGGTATATGAACGCACAAGTAGGGCGTCTGAGCTCTTCAGAAGCTCAGCTGGGTAGTAATAATGGACTTAACTCCGAACGGACTGACAACGGCGTGCGTCTGCTGCAACTGTGTGTGGAGCACCAGTTGTTTCTTAGTAGCACTGCTTTTAGACACAGTGGGCGCCGAAGTGCCACTTGGCGTCCACCTGTAGCTGGCCAGCGATGGACCCAAATTGACCACATAGCCATAAGTTACAGGTGGCGTGGCTCCATCCTAGATTGCCGCTCGTACTGGAGTACCTGTGTCGACTCTGATCATGCCTTGGTGCGCTGTCGTTTCTCCATGAACTTTACCGGAAGGCGCACAAAGCGTCTCCCCCGATTGGCAACGGAGAAATCGTCCCAGCCCTCGGTCAGGCAAGCCTATCAAGAGGCGCTGCGTATCGAACTTCCGCCGTCTTGTCCTAATGACACTGAGCTTCAGTGGAATAGGATCTCGGCCGCCATGCATGACGCAGGAGCATCTGCTTGTGGCACTATCAATCGTCAATGCATCAGTCACTGGATATCCGAAAGGTCGGTGAACCTGTTGGAATCTAGAAAACACCTCCCGGCTGGCTCTGAGCACAATGTAACCAGACGGGCTATTAGGCGTGAACTAAAGCGGAGCCTACGTGCTGACGAGGAAGCCTGGTGGACCAGTCGGGCTCAAGAAATGGAGGAGGCAGGAGCAGTAGGCAATTACCGCAAGCTCTTCCAGCTAATCCGCACCACTGGTCCGAGAAAACCAGACGTCAGTGAGACAATCAGAGACAGCGCAGGTGCGCTGATACACAATAATGAGCGCCGTATGGCTCGTTGGGCGGAACACTTTGAAGATCAGTTCAGCTGGCCCCCTGCTCCCGGACCTCTTCCTACTCAGGTGATGCAGGACGAGCCATGGACGGTTAGTTTAGAGCCTCCGTCGGAGGCCGAGGTCCGAAACGCGATCACAGCCCTCAATCGTTTTCGTGCCGCTGGCCCGGATTCCCTCCCACCTGCACTATTTAAGGATGGAGGTGAGGTCCTCTGCAAGGCACTGACCTCCCTATTCGAACGTATCTGGAACGAAGAGAATATGCCGGCTAATTGGAGCGAATCGATTATAGTGGCAATATACAAGAAGGGCAGTCGCACAGACTGTGCGAATCACAGGGGTATTAGCCTAACGCCAGTTGTGACAAAATTACTGGCCTCGATTATCGTTCGTCGCCTCACTGCGGAACGGGAATCTCGGATTAGGGAAGAGCAGGCCGGTTTTCGTCCAGGACGTGGTTGTATAGACCATATATTCACTTTGCGGCAGGTGCTAGAGCAGCGCCACGCATACCGCAGACCGACAATAGCTGTGTTCCTCGATTTCAAGAGTGCGTTCGATTCGGTCGATCGATCGATTCTGTTCGAATTACTTGCGCGAAAGGTGTTCCCACGAAATATGTGAACATCCTTCGTGCTTTATACTCCAACACTACTGGCCGCGTCAGGGTCTATGGTGTCCTATCGGATTGCTTTTCGACTACAAGTGGCGTTCGTCAGGGTTGTCCGATTTCCCCGTTTTTGTTCAATTTCGTCGTGGATTCTATCATGGAGTGTTCCGTTGCGGAATCTCACGATGTAGGCGTTGAAGTGCTGCCTGGTGAAAGGTTAGTTGACGTGGATTATGCAGACGATATCGTCTTGCTTTTCGACGATGTTGCGGCGGCACAATCAACCCTGAATAGCCTGTCCAGAGTGGTCCCATTATTTGGTATGCACTTCGCACTTTCAAAGTACAAAGTGTTGCTGCAGGACCACCAGCCACTTGTTGACCCCTTGACGCTTGCTAATGAGGAACTCGAGGTGGTTGATCATTTCACTTATCTTGGCAGCTGCATCAGCAATGATGGGCGCATAGAAACTGACGTGAGCTCGCGCATTGCAAAGGCCAGAGCTGCCTTCTTGAACCTGCGTCATCTTTGGCGACAGAAGGGAGTTTCCCTCCGTCTGAAAGGCCGTGTATACAAGGCCACAGTGAGGGCCGTTCTGCTGTATGGCAGTGAAACTTGGCCCCTTCGGTCTGAAGATCTGAGGCGCCTTCAAGTCTTTGATCATCGTTGTTTGCGAAGCATTGCTGGTGTCGGATGGCACCAGCGTATCCGCAACGATGATGTGCGTAGGCGAGTATTAGGTAGTGATAATCATGCTAGCTCCCTAGAACAACAGATAGCACTGAATAAGTTGCGTTGGCTCGGGTACGTGCTACGTATGCCTGGTCACCGCTTACCTGGGAGGGCCTTGTTCAGTTTACCAGGTGTAGGGTGGCGCAAGGTTCGAGGTGGACAGAAGTTGACATGGCAGCGGGAAATGAAGTCACTGACGGCCAAACTGGGTGCCGTTGGTCCGTCTCGCCTTCCGGGTTGGAGTCCACGTGACTCGCCTTGTGCTTGGCTCGAGACTTTGCAGGACATGGCTCGCAACCGACACCAGTGGCGCGTCCGCTGCCGTCTTCTAATCGGATTGCCTGTTTAAAGTATGTTTGGTGCTGAGTTATCTACTGGGTAATGACTGATTATGACGCGTGTCAGTGAAAGCCGCAAGGAAGCTGTCTCGCCGATGCCGCCTTATCTTTGCACGATAGCCAGCTGTTTGTGACGGTATGTTGTTAACACAAGGTGTAGGCGCCTTGACCCTGAATGTTTGCTTAGGGCATTAAGGTTTTCAGGTAAGTCCCCCTTTCTCTCCCTCTTCTTATTATTTATAAGTCATAAGTCCTCATGGTTGTATGGCAGCGAAGCATCAGTTCAAGTGGCTGATGTACTGCTGTTAGTGATGATGATGATGATAACAGCAATATTGTTACTTGATCGCTTCACGACCGCAACTGATTTTACTCAGGTTTGAATAGTGCAATGGTGCCAGAATCCAGATAGGATCAGATACTCGAACCGAGGACACATAAGTCGTAGGCCAAACAGCCGGGGAATCGCGCTAATGTGTTTCTGGATGGCCTGTGCTTGTGCAGCGGCGCTTCGATTTCCACTAAGCAATCAACCGGTCTTCCCTCTGAAAGGCCCCATACCCTTCGCGGCGCTACCAGCCGTCTATCAGGATCTCAAACGTTTTACAGAAACTATTGCCCTTCGACCTTTTCCATACTTCACCCTGGCGCTCATATCATTGTGGATATGGAGCTTAATTCTCTCGTCTTTATATATTCCAATTTTTTAACGAGTCCTAATATTATCTTTGATGCCAATTCTTGCTCATTAGTAGTACTTATTTTGGTAAACTGAACCTAGTCCAAGTCTACCAGTAAATCGAAGTGGCACTTAAATTCCGTAAACTCATCACGATCAGCACCATCCGAGTTTTCTTTCAATTTAAGTGTCTTCCGTTTTGCGTGAAAATTACCTCGCCCATATTCCAACCACTGGCTGATATCTTTTGCGTTAGTCTGCCAGATACATCTGCATGACCGCACGACGTCGTCGCAATGGGAAGTTCAACGGACGAGCTTTGAGGCTTCAACTTTGCGAGTCTTAACCATATCATAAAATTTGACTTCAGCCACTTCACTCTCAGATATTTCGGTCTCATCTTCGCTCGTGAGGGTCGCCATCTTGATCCTGTAGACTTTAGAACGACCCAGCAGATGCATATAACGATAAATGTCTCCACGCCACTGTCCCTCCTTGGTCTGATCAGTCACCGCAGCGCGTTACTGCTGTTCACTTACAATATCCGGATTCCGCTGAACCGTCACCTGCAGAAGAAAGCAAAACATATCTGGCCCTCGGAATGCAATTGCACTCGTCGAACTTAGGAACATGTTCAGCTGTGACCTTCTGTTGACAAGTCACCATTCGAAGATGATAAAGCCATCTATCAAGCAAGCTAAGAACAAGTACATTTAGATCGAGGACGTTTTGCCTATCGTTGTTGCTAGCAAAATTCCACAAACTTCCGCATATTCACCACTTCATGCAACTCCCTGACCGCAAGCTGTTTCTGTTTATCTATCTAGTCAAGAAGAGTGTGGTGTCCTTCTATATATCACGAACGTGTCGACCTCAAAGCCAAAACGCTCGACTCCAAATAGAAGTCGGAAAACCTCAATAAGAACACTTTCTTACTAGAAGACAAACGAGGCACATGAAATACGATTTCATTGTTTTATGTAGCCCTTGAAACAGGAAATGTAGGAACATGTCTTTGGTTGAGCCAAGGTCACGATC